CCCTAAACTGCGTTTAGGGTTTAGGGTTTTGCTATCGAGTCTCGAGTTGTGCCCGGCGCCCCGAAAGCACTTCGAGATGCCCCTGGACAAGGCGGAGGGCATCCCGGAGGTCCTTTCTTTAAGGTTAGTGGGGCTTTAGGGCTCATAGAGTTTATAGGGCTTGTAAAGGTCTTGAAGAGATTTCGGGCTCAAGGGCGGTTTAGGGTTGTGGGGCTTAGGGTTTAGAGTTTAGGGGGGTGATAGGGTTTGCCTGGGGATCCAAAAACCTACTGTTTTTGCGGTTATACCTTGAAATTAAGGGGTCAGAACCCACTATTTTGTAGGGTTTGGGGATACAGGTAGGCATGCATGTAGGGTCTCGCATGTGCCTAGGGGGCACCTTGCAGTCCTGGGTAAAGATACATCGGGACTTGGGGGGGTTTAGGGGGGTTTAGGGTTTAGGGGGGTTTAGGGTTTTTGGGTTTAGGGGGGTTTAGGGTTCTTAGGTTTAGGGTTTAGGGCAACTTTGGAGCTTGTTGAACTCGCAACGCGATGTCTCGAGGTAGCACCCTACAAAGGAAGACCCGAGTTCGGGCTCGGAACAGCCCGAAACAAGCAGTGTCCTTGGACCTCATGGCATGACTTCGGGGTTCGGGCTTGGTAGGCTTTGGAGAGATCCGCCTCAATCCCCAAAAACCGTGGAGGCCATATTGTAAGCCACCACAAGACCTTTGGCAAAAACATCCCAAACACAAGAAGGAACCCGAAATCCTAAACCCTAAACCCTAAACCCTGAACCCTCAATCCTGAACCCTGAACCCTACGATGGGTCCTCCTCGCAAGGCTCTGACCACGCAGGGCTCAACAGGGCTCGCCATGGATGTACCGAGCTTGGCCGGGTAGTGAAGAGCACGAGGTTGCCGAACCTTGTGGTTGAGGTTTTAGGGTTTAGGGTTTAGGGTTTAGTTCTGGGGAAGTAGGGGTTTTGAGATGTCATGGCTTTGGGGTTTGTGGGTTTCTTTCGGGTTGGGTTCAGGGCCTTTGCTTGAAGTATGGGGGTCTCAAATGCTGTGTAGGTGTACACCCAGATGGTCCTGCAAAAGATTGCAAAAGGATGGTTTGCATATATATATATATACACACACACAACCACAAGCCTAGACTCTTAGACTGGATGGGCCCTGAAAGAGAGGATACAAGAGAGCGAGAGAGAGAGAGAGAGAGAGAGAGAGAGAGAGAGATGGAGAGAAAGAGAGAGAGCGAGATCACCCTGGCCTATGTCAAGCACCATCATCAGGTATGGGTCATGGCGTGGAAGCTCTGGGATTCTGGGGGCTTAGGGCAGCTCCCAAGAATCGCAAGCTCCCATAACACAAGAAGTGGTTCCCGTGGCCCTCGAAACTGCACCCGAAAGCCCACCACATCCCGAACAATAAACCCCGAAACGTTAAGCGAGCGGTTTAGGGTTTAGGGTTTAGGGGTTAGGGTCTGACTGAAGCTGTTGAGCGTCCCAAAGCCCGAAGCAATCTAGTGAGTCCCGCTGCTCCAACCACCTGAACAATTTTTTTGGGAAGTCTTGGGGAGAAAACGCAACATAGATTCCAAGTAGGGATTTTCTGGATCTGTTCTGAGGAATGAGGGATCATGATGTTTTTGCTTTCCCATTTCGTCTACATACTCGGGGCGGAGTGGGATTTGGATAACTTGCTTGGGTTACCTCGCCCGTTGAACCTCGTCCTGAAGGCTCACAGTAACAATTGCAAAATAAAAGGGTTTGGCTCGGCCGTGTGGCATGGTGGTCCCGTGATCGTCCGTAACGCGATGCGGGGCGTGTGAAGCGAAAGGATTGTCCTGGGCTTCGCTAGCCGAAAAGACTAGAAACACCATTACTGTTGCCTTTCTTATTATTGGGTGGAGTCCGTGTATATATGTATATACACATGTACACATACACAGTATACGAGTAGTCTGACATGAAACATACTACTTTGAGATCTACTTCCAACTCATCCCAGGCACGCGGAGCTCCGGGGCCTGGCAACATACCCTCGATGGTTGGGGGGTAATTAATTTCTATGAGGGACGCTTTAATGCTACGAGGGCTAGCACAAGTTTAGGGTTTAGGGGGAAAGGGTTGAACAATTCAGGGGTTTAGGGGTGTAGCGCTTAGGGTTCAATTGAAAGGGTTCAATTGAGTTTGGGGTTCTGGTATTTCGGGGTACCGGGTTAGAGGTTTAAGGAGTTTAGGGCATGGTCGGGAGCAACCATGCTGGCTCAATGGACACAGGCACTTCGCACTTGGAGAGCCCATCTAATCCCAGCGGTTCTACGGCATGGTTAAATAAGCCGTACGTAAGCTCTAGGAACGTGACCTTTTCTGACCGTCAAGGGAGAGGGTCTCTGAGTTCCTGTTTTTGCAAGAATTGACACTTTCGCGCCTCGAAGTTGGCATCTAGAAGCAGCTGCTGGACCTCTCCGGACATCGATGCTTCGGCGTTGATGCTTAGGGTTTTACGATCAAGAGTAACTTTCACAACATCCGTTAACATACAAAAACCCTGACGGTATAACTCTTCTAGAAACCACCAACAGAAGCATGTGATTATTATCACGTTATAGTATATCCTTAAACATAACCCGTTATATAGGACTCTTTGTTTGGATGACTATGGCATATCCCAAAACCTAAACTTTAGACCGCCAGGCCAAGCACTCAATGCTGAACCTTAATCCGCATATCATCCACCCTGAATCCTCAAAACCCTAAACCTCTTTTCAGCCGTGCAATACACCTTAAATAACCACCCCAAAAGCCCTGAATCCTAAACTTCTACGTGAACTGCTCTCGAGTTTCATCGTCGCAACCCATAGATTATAGATAACTAATAACTACCCATACATGGGCCGTATCGTAATTCCTTTTTGGGGTTACTTTATTATTGGATTTTATATATGAACCCAAAAAGGAACTACTCTGATGGAGCGCTGTGGAAAAACCTTGGCAAACAACGACCCCAAGAAACCTCGTCCCAGCCTGCAAAGCCTCTGGGATCTCCCATGACGTGACGGCCACGGGGCAGCGGCATCCTTGTGCTCCATCTGTGTCGGATGCTGTTGCATCTGTAGGTTGGTAGCTAGGCAAGTCGGTGTGTATACACAAATATGCGAATACAAACATGTATAACATGTGTGAGTATGTATATGTAGATGTATATGTGTATGTGTGCATAAAGATGTACATGTTTATATGTATATATGTATATACGTATATATGTATATATGTATATATGCATATATGCATATAAGTATATATGTATATATGTATATATGTATATATGCATATATGCATATATGTAGATATGTGTTTATGTATATATGTATGTATATATATATATATGTAA